ATTAAACACACACGATGAGGAAAATGAATTTTGAAGTGAGTGTGGCTAAAAGGAAGTGAAAATGCAGTACACTGTAATGTCAAATCTCTTATCTGGAAGTTGACCTTTTACGTCATGTCTGTCTGTCATATCGAAAGCATGTGTTAACACTTTGCCGTTCTGCAGTAAAGTCATAAAAATGCTGATTATAAAATAAGTGTTGTTATTTCCAAGGAACAAATAAAACGTCAGAACTTTGCAATGTGCAGAATAAAGTTTTACAGCTGTCTTGTTGAGATAAAAATGAAGTGTTAAAAGATTGGCATGGCCTACATTATAATGAAACCATCAGGTAATAAAAAAAACAGAATATACTGCCAGGATTTTATTTTCAGTTCTGAATGTCTCAGTCCCACGTTAAAGAGAGCAAACTGCAGCTCAGCTCCCACAGCTTCTCCGCCACGTTGTCGTCTTTGGCAGCCGCAGAACAGCTAGCAGGAGCACAGTCACTGTAAGCAAGCATGTATCACGTGAGCACTTTGTTCACTTGTGTAACACGAACATTTTATGTTTGTTAACATCTACTGAGCAAGTAACACTCTGCTTGTCAGCCACCGTTGCTTAAAGACTATAAGTCAACATTAACAGTGGCTTCTTTTTCTAAATTTGTACACTAGCAAGCATGAAGAACATCCAATGAATCAAAAGTTTGCCATTAAAATGTTTTAGGAATTTAATATTCAGTTGTAACCAAATAATGTAGAATAATCTACACTTTTTATTTATTTAACAAAATCAAAAAATACAATCCTGCAGTTTTTAAATACTTTCTGTTCTGCGTTGCATTTGAATAATTCATTTTGCTTCCGACTTTCTTTAATGGAGAGAAGCTGTTATTTCATATATTTTGCCTGCAAATTGTGGGTTAGCACTGTTGCCGCACAGCAAGAACGTCCTAAGTTCAATTCCACCATCAGGCCGGGGTCTTTCTGTCTGGAGTTTGCATGTTGTCCCCGTGTTTGCGTGGGTTCTCTCGGGTACTCCAGCTTCCTCCCACAGTCCAAAGACATGCAGTTGGTGGGGATAGGTTAAATGATCAATCTAAATTGCCACAAAAAACTGCTGAACTCGAGATCTAGTGCGGCAGAATGGACATTTTAATCTTAACAAATGTGTGCTCTCCTTTAAATATTAAACATTATAGTTATAATATCTAATACATTATAATATTTATATCTGTAGGTAGTTTGTATACACTCTTTTTCTGTGTACTAATTTGTAATATTTATATAGAGTTGTATATATTATATATATTTTTTGCACCATGACACTGTGTACAAACTTGGCAATAAAAGTGATTCTGATTCTAAAAAATTCATAATGGATACATCTCACCCTGGTCACCTACTTCTTGAACTCTTACCATCTGCCAGACAGTGCAGTTAGAGAAAGGACAGAAGGACTGAATAGCAGTTTTTTTCTCAGAGCTATAAAAAGCATTAAAATGCTACAATGTCCACTTGAATGTGCTCGGTGTAATTAGGGGTTGTGCAATTTGAGAGAATAGAGACAGGTTGCGTTTGTATTATTTATCTTACATAGTTTTTTTTTTTTTTTTTTTTACAGTTTATAGTGTAGTGTTTATAGACTGCTGTTAATGATCTTTACACTCTTGAGATTGCACTTAATTTTGTTGTAAATGTTACTGTAACAATGAGGAAATCCTATTCTATTCTGTGTTCTAGGAGCTGCTTTGCCAGGAGTGTAAAATGAGACTTTGCAGCAGATTTGAATCAAGTATACAAACATGCATACGTTTTCTGCATTGCCAAATGAATTGAAGCACATTCAGGTGACAATATGTGCACAGTTTACACTGCTGTAACGTTGCAGCGTAGCTTCATTTGTGATGTTAGTAATTCACGTCTAAGTTCCACATACGACATGTATTCACCTACCAGGGAATCTATATTGCATTTAAAACATGGTATTAAATGCATTACATTTTTCATTAAAACCTTGAACATAACTTGTTCCCGAACAGCTTATGTCTTCAGCTTAAGTCATCACAGTGATTTGTCCAGGTTAAAAGAGAAACACTTTTGGGACACAGAAAATTCTGACTTTAACTGGACATTTATCTCGCTTCATATTTCACACCTTTAAATAACTGCTTCATGGCAAATATCTTTACTGTTCATCTGATTTAGTTAGAAGTAAGAAGTAGTCTTTACTCTGAGCTGATGAGTTAAACATCATGTTTACCTTTCATTGGTCTAAAACTACTAAGTGTTGAAAGCCACTGTATTAATATGCTACTAGATTATGTGTAACAAGCTGCAATATAATTTCTGTGTGTTACAGCAAAAAGTGTACCTGTAGTATCTGCCACTCTCCTTCTCTAATGATGGGTCAACAGCACAGTAAATTGTTGTCTGCGCTCCCTGGACAGAGTTTTTGGTAAAAGGACTGACCATCTTCATGAAGAATTGCTGGACACCATTCAGATGACGAATTAACTCAGTCTGAACAACTCCAGGATGGAGAGAATAGGTCGTCACGCCTGTGCCTAAAAGTAAGGAAAAAGTGAATGAAATCACCAACAGTAAAGCTACTAGTCATGCATTTGATTTGAACAGAAAACTGGCAAATTAAAAGAAAGAAATGACAGCGTGTAAGGTGCATTATTTACCTTCTAATCGTTTAGCCAGTGATCGGGTGAAGAGGACGTTGGCTAGCTTGCTTTGAGCATAGGCTTTATTCTGGTTGTAATGCTTCTCACTGTTGAGGTCCTCTAGATTTATGGAGCCCCAGGAGTGAGCCATGGAAGATACATTGATAATCCTAGCCGGTGCCGACTTTTTAATCAGGTCAAGCAACAAATATGTCAACAGGAAGTGACCTGGAGAAGAAGGAAATATGACTTTAAAATCCAATTTTCAGTTTCAGAAAACAGAGTGAAGATAATGTATTTGGAAAAAGTGACACTTCACTAATTACGAAATACTGTACTTACCAAAATACTTACCTTAACTTGGTAAAGACTTTCACAATAAATGTACTACATCAAATAAATACCATAAGACAGAATGTGTTACAAAGACCACCCACAGCTTATAATTTAATTACGTTAAATTAAATAACAAACAACACAAGTGGCTCCTGTTACTTCAAGAGGAATGCTATCCTGATGCACTAATTCTGCACAAAAACATCAAATTAAAAAGTGCG